AGACCAGGTTCACCCATTCATGGCAACAGTTTTTCCTGCGGGGGATGGTGTTTACCAACAGGATAATGCACCATGTCATAAGGGTCAAATCGTCGAGGAACATTCCAGTGACTTTCAAGTCATGTCTTGGCCCCCAAGTTCACCTGTTCTTAATCCAATAGAGCATTTGTGGTCCTATTTGAAAAACTAAATTCGTGCTGCCCCTCGCAATGTGAGGGAATTGCAGGACCAGTTGGTGAGCGCCTGATACCAGATACTTCAGACTACCTATCAGCACCTTGTGGAATCAATGCCACTGAGGTGCTAGCAGTTTTGAGGGCTAAAGGTGGTCCTGCATGTTATTAGCAGGGTGGCCATAATGTAATGGCTCTTCGGTGTATACATATGTGCGTATGTAAAACCGATATATATCGCTTGCGGAAATTTTTAAACCGTATGTGCTTTCACATTTCGCCATATCTATAACCATAATTACTTGTGTTCAATAAAATATTTTTTTTAGCTTTTATTCATATATAAATCATATGCAAATTTATAAACTTATAAAATATAGGTTACTTACATTTAATCCTAATTTCCAGCATGTAACTTTTAGCTAGTCTCATTCTATTTTATAAATATTCAATTTAAAACGTTTCAGATTTTTTTTTTCAATTAGAAGTAAAGGCACTAAAAAAATGTAAAAACGTATTTATACAAAATTAACTGTCAATGTCATAGCAACGTAATTGGATCTGAATTTTTATAATTATATAAATAAATCTATTTTCCATTGTGTAAGCACGCCTTTTGTGTTTTCATACTTAGTAACAACTTACAAGAAAACCCAATTGTTGTTTATTTGTTCAAAATAACACAAAAATAAATCCCTACAATAGTATATAATGTTAAACAATAGCCTTTATGTATATTGATATTATATCTTAAGAGTCACGAAAAATAATCGTCAATCTTTGTAAGACAGTCAGGAGTTAGGTAGGGAGCCTTTTATGAAAGCAAATAGCGAAAATGAGATTTTCAAAACTTTTTTCATAAATATTATGATATTAGAAAATTAAAATTAGATGAATACATTTTCCGATGATTTGTGAAAATACCAAAAAAAAGCTTAGGATGTCAATCAAAAGAGACGGATTTTATGCAAAAATCAAATATCACGCAAAAATAGAGATGTCTAACTGTAAAGAAGATTTCTGCAATTTTAAAATACATAAGTAATTCACTGTATTTTTAATGGATAAAAAAATAAGAAATGTGGATTAAGTAAATAAAAGAAGTTAAATTAGAAAGAAGGGCTACAATAAAAATGATCGGAACCAAGCTATCATATATGTGAGTTAAAGTTGATTTTTCTTTATCAATTCTCGAAGATAAAAAAAAAAATTACTACTTTATATATAAGTTTAAAAAAAGTCACCGATGTTTTAGTCTAGACACTTTCTCTCTGTTTTAAGTAAATTTCTTATTAATAATAGCATACAATTAACTAAATGACTTTATATAGAATTTAATTGCATTAGTTGGGTATCTATGGTTTTTCATCAGATTGGTTTTGAATGACGGTTTAGTACCTTTCATCTAGATTGATAGCTCTGCGGATTTCTATTAATAAATTTCCAATAATTTGTTTTTAAAAAGATAGTTTGAAATAACTGGGTGAAAAAAAAAGATATTAAAAATATTTAGTTAAGTAATAAAAAATAAGGTAATAAAAATAACAATGGAAAATTGCAACCAACCCAATTTTTTGTAATGATTTTAGTTATTTAGTCTTTTAATTATGCTACTCATTTAAGGTTTCATTATTAATGTATCTTTAGATCAAACATCGCGTAATACTAAAAAAAAGAAATTAAAATCACAATATAATAAAAAAATAATGCGTGGAGTCCCTCCGCGCGGAAGAAGTTAAACTTCGCAACCTGTGACGTTAATTGTAGAAGAATCAGCAGTCGTAGAAGGATCACTAGTTCTATTCAACGACTCTTTTTCCTGCTCCGCTCGCTTCCGTGCTCTGTAATCACGGTAATATTGTGCATTTTTCCCTCGTGGACCTCTTGAACCAGTGGAAGTGCTTGTGGTTGCCTCATCGTCTCGCCCTGGAAAATGTATTTGTATTAATAATGTATGTGAATGCGTCATAATGTAAGTTCAGAAGAGAAAACCTAACAATCAATTGATATTCCCAAGAGACGTACCTTGACATAACCTTAAATCCATCGGAAAACTGGATCCTACCACGTGATTTCCCGGCCAATAAAAATTTAGCGTTAGACGTTTAGCGCAACCTTGTTGGAAGTCGCATAAGAAGTATAACTTCAAAAAAAATTTAAAAGCTAAAATATCTCTAAACAGAAGAAGAAAATGAGATTGGGAAAAAAGCGTCGCCAAATGTGGTAAGCATTCCAATATCTTTCTCTTTCGCGACCCTTATGCTTAAGATAATTTTGAAGCTATTGTGGTAGCTAACTAAAGTTTGATATCAGGAACTATAGTTTTACTAGTTAGGATAAGCAACAATAGTATCTCTTTCACATTTAAGTATTTCAATGTTTCAAGTGAAAAACGCTGATATAGTTGAGATAATCATATCATCAATAGATATTTTCACTAAAAAAATGAAACCTAAAAAAATTATACCTTATCTAACTACAGATAACGCTATATAAAATTTCAGATAACGAACTCTTTCACCAAATATATAATGACAAAACCCCGAAATTGTTAGACAAATGCGACGAAAAAATTAAAATGTCTAAAATATCTCAACTGGCAAAATTCGTATCATCCTTTCAGGGACTTACAGTTTTATTTTTAATTTCCGGTATCTTTTTATTGTTGAAATATGCTATTAAAAGAAGGAGATATTCGCATCTTATACCATCCAGAAATAAACGGTTTATTGATGTTTGGGGTGATTTTAATATTTTTCCTAGGACAGCGTTTTACGAGGCTGCAGGTTTGTCTTTGACAGCAGGTGAGAATTATTATTTTAAGTAATAAAAAAAATTTAAAACAATTTTCGAGCTTACTGAAATATACCTTGCTGTTTTATATATTCTATTCACCTTTGCTGTCTTATCTATTCCATTTTTTATTAAAAAATAAATTAATTAATAAACGAAGAAAAGAAAACAAATAATACATTGATTAATTAGAGTTAAAAATTTTTTGATAAAGTAATTAATACATTAATTTATTAAGATAAAAATAAATTTCAAATTACTCAAATGTTTGTTTAAGCAGAACTTTAATGTAATAAATTTTATTAACTTATTATTATTAAATTTAATTATTATTTATTTAGTTATTACTTATTTAATTCTCTGTAAAAAATAACATCAAAAGTAATTTTTAAAGAAACTTAATCTTTTAGTTCTGGCAATAAAGCAGAACACAATGTGTACAAGCACACGTGTAATAATTAGATAAAACAGATTGTCGTTTCGGGGCTGTGAATGAAGAAGAATGAGAAAAAAAAATTATGATTCTGCGAAATTTCTTTCAATCAAGCATTTAGAGATAGCTAAAAAGTAATGTATGAAAATAGCATTAAGAGTCCTCTACAAAAGGAAAAAAAAACGATTCTATTTGCTTCTTGTTAAACTACTGAGGTAATATGAACGCAATTTTCAAATTAATTTAGTTATTGAATTATATTTTCGAATAATTTTTGTCTCATTTCAATAATTGATAAGTGTCATATTCAATCTAGTTGAAACGTTTCATATTTCTAGATTGTAAAAATTTTCAAATAATAAAACTTTAAAAGTATTCGACGTTGGAAAATTTTTTAAAAATATATGCAACTTGAAAACTTGGTATCAAGATTTTATCGAACACAATTCAATGAATAGATTAAGCTGCTCAAATTCATTAGTTACTTACAGAACAAATACAGATGTAGCGTTCATAATATTCTCTATATGTTTATATTGTGGAAAACGGATCTATTGACTTTACTTTCGACTGTGTTTCATGATAGGGGGCAGTATTTACAGAAGTTTTTTCAACTTCCGGTAAAAGATTCGCTTGCATTGATTTCTATTTGCCTTTTTTTAAATATTATTTATTTATTTTGTTTAAATCATCTTTCAACTTAATTTTTAATATAGTTATTTGCGTCTGATGGCAAAAAATTCGTTTGCAAATGGCGTTAGTTATTCTACTCTTGGGGGAGGGGGGCACAATGTATCAAAATACTAATTTGTTATCTGAAATAAGATGCTTAAATTCCCTAAAAATCCATCCCTGGGAATGCATTAAGGAAGAAATACTGGGGGGAAAAAAGAGATAGCCATGCTCTGATATCACGTCATAGCTATGCTGCTGCTATTACGTCAAGTATAACGTAACAAAGCTTCAATATTTTCCAAGTTCTGACTTGTGTCCTCCATATAATTGAAAGGCCAGTAATAATAATCCATCGAAAATTAAAACGTATATTTATTCAGAAAAAGATCAAGATTCGTGAGTAACTTAGTACTTAAAGTATCACTTGCGCTGAATAATAATTTAAATTATCAGGAGTATTCAGTTTACATGTTTTTCATGTTGTGAAGCAAACAGTTTGATACTAAACAATAAATCAACATAACTGAGTCTGAACAATAAATCAACACAAGTGAGTCTGAACAATAAATCAACATAAGTGAGTCTGAACAATAAATCAACATAACTGAGTCTGAACAGTAAAGTACTAAACAATAAATAAACATAACTGAGTCTGAACAGTGAAGTACTAAACAATAAATCAACATAACTGAATATTTTGTCCCGTAATCTCATGACTTTAAGAGGAATTGTCTACACAGTAACATTATTTTGTCACTTTTTAGTCAGTTTAGGCTAAAATATTTCATTTAAATTTCATTTAAAAAACGCCTTCTTCCCAATGTTTATTGAGTAGGGGAGAGTGGGGTCAATTGTAACAGGTTACGATTGTAACAGAGCAAAAATTTCGAGTGTCGGTTTCTAGATTTGGTTTCTAGGTGNTCGTAATTATACATTCACTGAAAATATTTGTTGAGGGCATACTTTTTTATCTATTAATAAAAAAGACAAACTTTGTTTTTTAATAAACGTTAACAGATATCTAATGACAATCTGTTTCTCACGAACATATTGCTTTCATTGTATAAACATTGAAGTTCGTCAGATTAATCAATTTCACCCATTGTTTTTTTATTTTTTTCAATAAAACATATCTGAAAAAATTCGTAATTATACATTCACTGAAAATATTTGTTGAGGGCATACTTTTTTATCTATTAATAAAAAAGACAAACTTTGTTTTTTAATAAACGTTAACAGATATCTAATGACAATCTGTTTCTCACGAACATATTGCTTTCATTGTATAAACATTGAAGTTCGTCAGATTAATCAATTTCACCCATTGTTTTTTTATTTTTTTCAATAAAACTCTTAAAGATAAATTTTCGTCAGAACAAATATTTTTTAAATGCGTAAAAATTATGTTTAAAGTGTAGACTCCGAAAAACAAGATTTCACCCTGAATAGTATTTATTCTATAATAAAATGTTGACGAAAAAAGCGCCTACTTTAATGATACAAAAAGGTTATTTCAAACAAGCAAATTAATAAATTCTACAAAAATATACTGAATCTGAAAGAAAAAGTTCTTTTCTCAGTTAGATTTCTGACTATAGAAGTATTGGGAGCACTCTTAAAAATATCGTCTCAATAGTTTAGTCACAAAAATTTAAGACACTTAATGTTATCCTCTTTATTTCTCTTTTTCGCGTATTCCATTACTGTAGATCAAAGATAGCCTTGAGGGATCAGGTCGATAGAGCGTTCGACTTCTAATGAGGTGTAATCTTCAAATTTCTCCCAATACTTGATCCAGGAGTTCCCTCGTCTTCTGGATTGGGTTCAAAATTACAAGGCTACGGAGTTGAACATTAGTAGTCATAAAACCCCAAAAATTGGATAGGCTGTTCAACGACGGTTAGAAAATAAAATTTATCTCAAAAAGTTCTTAAGCAAATCAACAATTTTTTGGCAAATAATTATAAATTTTGTTTATCCGAATACAATGCTATACGAGCAGTATTGCTTAAAAAATATTTATTTTATTTTATTTAATGAGTGTCGAAGTTAAAGAGACATGCAGTTTGAATATAAAGTACTCTCGTGAATAATTGGAAGCGATATGTTGATGCTAGAATACCAATTTTGAAATTTTTGATGTGACAACAGGATCAATGAATATTTTTAATATGCTATTTGACATTTCTCTTTGTAGCAAAGCTTATATATCATCATTAAAAAATATAAACGAAAAACGATGCACCAAGTGCGTATTATTGATGAAAATTACGCGGGGCAAAATCTAAAAGTCGTGGGACGAAATCTTATCCAGACTAAGTAGTACAGGTTAAAATCTTCTATGTACTAATAATTAGAAACATTATTTAGATTATAATCTACAAGGGGTGATCAAATGGAAAGGTATGAAACGACACGGTGGGTACAAATGTAGACTTTATTCCAAATATACACCATAGGCCAGTGCACAGCGATCCCACTGATGAACAAGCCTTCACTGCGTCCTTGAGTATGTCGTCCGAGTTGAAGAGCTTCCCTTTCAGGTGAGCCAAACACATGGAAATCGCAGGGCGACTAGTCCAACGTTAGTCCAACGACTAGTCCAACTGGTCCAACGTCTCCCACTTGAACTTGGCCAGTTCCATGTGTGTGAGTCTGGAGACGTGAGGGCGCGCATTATCATGGAGCAGAACCACACCCTCCGTGAGCAGCCCCTGTCTTTTGTTCTTGATGGACCTGCGTAGGCGTCAGAGTGTCTCACAGTACACATCGGAGTTAATGGTTATCCTGTGCTCGAGGAAATCGGATAACACCTCGCTGCTCCTCAATCGTCGAATTTTGCAACGCGAACGCCATCCAGTCCTCATACGGACTGCCGCATCATTTGGACGCCGCTTTTGATAAGACCCTCTGCTCTCTCCTGCTCATGCGGGCACCAGCGCATGCTCCGATCCCAGTCAGAGACTCCAATCGCATCCCGAGCTGTCTCGCTACTTTCTCCCATAGCGGAATATGCAAATATTTAACTGTTACGTTTTTACGTCGTTTCGTATCTTTTCATTTGATCACCCCTTGTATAATAATAAAGTGAAGAGTTTGTCTGTGTGTCTGTATGAGTCTCTTATAAGTCTAGAACCATTTATGCCACCGTCCTGAAATCGAACAGAAGGTGAAAGGAATAATTTTAGCCCCCGTTTAAAAATATTAAAAAAATTTCAATTATTGCGTTCCAAAGAGAAAAATTTAACTTTTTCATTGGCTTATGTGGGGAGAGTCACATCGACCATGTCAACTTTCATCTATGTTAAGGTACCCCAACATAGAATCGAGTTAACATGTCCTATATACTAGTGAATTAGAATTATAATTTTGGAGTGATGGACACACTACAGTACTCCCCCACCAGAATTTTATCTGTGATAGAATTCGATGAATGGATACCACTAGTTGATTTATTGCTGTCTTGTGAGAAGCCGGGAGAGCTGTATTAAGATCACCATAATTTTAAGTGCTGATTTTGAGAGCTGTATTAAGTTCACAGTCGTGGTACATCCTGTGTTGCCATTAGCAGTCGAGTGTATACAGACCGACGTTGTGTGTGGTCGAGTGTGAGTAGCAACAGCGCGAGGAGGTGGATAATGTCGCACTCACATGTAGCAAGTGAACTGTTCAATGTGGATCGTCCATCGAAGTAAGCGTGTTGAGATCGAAGTGGACATTACAGTCAGGATAGGCGTGTCCATATCGAAGTGAGAAAGTCTGTCAAGGTAAGCATGTTCACACCCCGTCCGGGTCACCAATGTGGGGAGAGTCACATCGACCATATCAACTTTCATCTATGTTAAGGTACCCCAACATAGAAACGAGTTAACATGTCTTATAAACTAGTGAATTGGAATTATATTTTTGCAGTGGTACACACACTACAGTTTAAAACTAGCATTTCATAAAAATGATGGCGATTCTATTTTTCTAATATGTTGAAGATTACATCAATCCTGTTTGCAAGCATGGAGCTTCCCTTAATCAAAAAAGGACAAAAATCGCATTACTATTATTAAGGCCAATAATTCTCTATTTTTTCGGTAATAGTTACTAATTGAAGTAAAATAATAAGCTATGCTCTAAAGAGCAAAATTAATGGTGAAATGGTACTAATTCGCTTAGGAGTCATTTTAAGGAAAAATCAGTTGGAATGGTGACAAGGCTTAGTTAATGTTTACTAAATTTTTGGATTAGGCGGATTAAAACTGAAGTAATTATCGCGTATGACGCTAAAAGTTGTTTCCTAAGAACAATTACGCATTATTGATCAGCATTTGAAAAAAGTAATGTATGTAAATTATATATATTTCTTAGCTATTCTGAATTTATTGTAACTAAAAATGCGTGCAAAATATTGTACTAAAAATGCACTTTATTCTGTTTATGAAATTGATAAATTGACTTGGATAAGCGGCACTTTTTTAATCAAATAACAGTGTTGCTTTTTTTGATTCTTTTCTGTTGTTAAAGATTTCTTCTATATGTTAAATATTTATGCATCTTTTTCTTTTAGTTATATTACAGTATTTAAATGGATTGTTTCATTTGTACAAAAATGAAGTTTTGTTTTCTATCTGGATTGGTTACACTCCTTTCATATGTCTGAATAAACCTGAAGCTGTTGAGGTAATAATTTATTAAATTTATGATATTTTGTAGAATTGCTGATATATGAAGATTGAAATTAAAGTGAATTTCTTTTTTAATAGAGGCTAGTTTTACTGTCAATAAATCAATATTTTTTATTCTTAACACTCTTTATTATGTTCACGAGATTCATAGATGTGATTTTGCACAGCCTTTTCTACTAGTAAACTTTTTCGTTCTGATAAATAGATAGTGACTGCGCAATCTTCAACCGAAAAGTAATTACTTCACTCCTGCGCAATGTCGAGTGGAAGAAAGACGTTTGCTAATAGTAATACTCGTAGACATAGAGTGAGGGGAAGGGGCCCCTTTTCATTTTTAGAAAACTGTTCGTTTATTTTAAGTGCACATGCATATAGATGCATATTTACTTTTTAAGATAAATGCATATTTATACATAAATGTATGTATAAAACTTAAAACTGTCGAACTGTTTTTGAAAACAAAAAGTGTGCCCCACCCTCACGCTACGCCTATGGTAATACTTTATTTCGGTGGACTAAAGCTGCTCAACCGGCTATTGCATCATTTCTTAGAAGAGAGAAGGCTGCCGCATGGATCAATTCAGTAGTCAGACGTAACAGACATAAACTGCGCAGCGGGGCGTAATTAAGAAAGATGTAACAGCTTTCGGGTTACTGAACTTGCTTAGTGGGGGAGATATGAAAGATGTCACTACATTCTGGTCACTAAACTTGCTTAGTGAGGGAGATATGAAAAATGTCACTACATTCAGGTTACTAAACTTGCTTAGTGGGGGAGATATGAAAGATGTCACTACATTCAGGATACTAAACTTGCTTAGTGGGGGAGATATGAAAGATGTCACTACATTCAGGTTACCGAACTTGCTTAGTGGGGGAGATATGAAAGATGTTACTACATTCTTGTTACCAAACTTGCTTAGTGGGGGAGATATGAAAGATGTCACTACATTCAGGTTACTGAACTTGCTTAGTGCGGGAGATCTGAAAGATGTCACTACATTCAGGATACTAAACTTGCTTAGTGGGGGAGATATGAAAGATGTCACTACATTCAGGTTACTGAACTTGCTTTGTGGGGGAGATATGAAAGATGTCACTACATTCTGGTTACTAAACTTGCTTAGTGGGGGAGATATGAAAGATGCCACTACATTCTGGTTACTAAACTTGCTTAGTGGGGGAGATATGAAAGATGTGACTACATTCTGGTTACTAAACTTGCTTAGTGGAGGAGATATGAAAGATGCCACTACATTCGGGTTACTAAACGGCGCAGTGGGGAAATTTCGAAAGATATTACTACGTTCTGGCTACTAAACTTGCTTAGTGGGGGAGATATGAAAGATGTCACTGCATTCAGGTTACTAAACTTGCTTAGTGGGGGAGATATGAAAGATGTCACTACATTCAGGATACTAAACTTGCTTAGTGGGGGAGATATGAAAGATGTCACTACATTCGGGTTACTAAACGGCGCAGTGGGGAAATTTCGAAAGATATTACTACGTTCTGGTTACTAAACTTGCTTAGTGGGGGAGATATGAAAGATGTCACTGCATTTAAGTTATTAAACTTGCTTAGTGGGGGAGATATGAAAGATGCCACTACGTTCTGGTTACTAAACTTGCTTAGTGGGGAAGATATGAAACTTGCTTAGTGGGGGAGATATGAAAGATGTCACTACATTCAGGTTACTAAACTTGCGTAGTGGGGGAGATATGAAAGATGCCATTACGTTCTGGTTACTAAACTTGCTTAGTGGGAAAGATATGAAACTTCCTTAGTGGGGGAGATATGAAAGATGTCACTACATTCAGGTTACTAAACTTGTGTAGTGGGGGAGATATGAAAGATGTCACTACGTTCTGGTTACTAAACTTGCTTAGTGGGGGAAATATGAAAGATGTCACTACATTCAGGCTACTAAACTTGCTTAGTGGGGGAGATATGAAAGATGCCACTACATTCGGGTTACTAAACGGCGCAGTGGGGAAATTACGAAAGATATCACTACGATCGCAATGATGAAAGATCAGTCGAGTTTCTCGTTTATGGTAACCTGAGCGGAGTTCTCTCTCTCTTCTAGGAGGTGTTGTTAAAAGTCAGGGGAATATCCTTGAGGATGAGCCATGCCATTAAAATTTTAATTTTTTGCATAGGGGATGACTCCCCTGCTTTGGTAGCTCGATTACTTGACTGTAGAACGAATGCTTTACGGTCAGACAGTTAAATGAGGGCTGACACCATTCAGCCTCGGCACCTTTGTAAGCTGATCGAAGTAATCACCCATCCGCTTAGTGATGCCTTTGTTGGTCTACTTGACTTTGGCAATCTATTTGACTTCGGTGATTCACTGGAATCTAGTATGATCAGTTCACTGTTTCAAGTCTTTATAAATATGAATATGGCAGATGCTTAACTTAGACTATACTGTTGATTTCGATGTTTTTTATAATGTTTGAAAATATAATGCTTTTCTTTTAAAATAATTTCAAAATCAGATTTCTCTATAATTTAAGAAAAAAAAATTATGAATTTAATTTTAGGAAATGTAAGTGCACTTATGTTTTATAATATTTTATATAAACTTTAATTTAATCCTTTAGGAGGTTTTGGGAGGAAGAAAGATTAACGAAAAGGCATGGTTCTACGACTGGCTTCATTGTTGGCTAGGAACTGGACTCTTAACAAGGTGATTTTCCTGACTTAAATACTATAAAGCAGTGTTCCCCAATCTTTTTATCACCGCGGACCTGTCAACGCTTGATGATTTTACCACGGCCCGCTGGGGGGACGGGGACGTTGATTGTTTATATTTTAGGTTATTTTGATTTATTAATTTTAATTTATTTGTATTTAAACATGTCTTCAAAATAAAATACAATTACAACAAAAAATAAATATAAAGTGATTTAACATCTCATTTTAACTTACTAGAACGTTAAATCAATCAGTCGCGATCGAGAGAGAAGACGAAGTTCTTCATTAGTTCCAAAGTAAATTTCTCACCCCGCTTTCGTGTTTTATTTATGATATTTACAATTATGATAATTGATTTTTCTATTAAAACTAATTGAAAGAGAAAACAGTTCTGGTGGTTTTCTCTTTTTTTTTTTACTTTTTGAAACATTAAAAAATTAATGTCACTACCTTCAGGGCCCCTTTTTTCTAAATAAATAAAATTTTACTGGAACACAAATATTTTTAATTTGGGGTATAAACCAAGGAATTTAAATTCAATGAAACGAAATGGGCCGCCCGGTAGCATTTGATTCACGGACTGATTATGGTCCGCGGACCGGGGGTTGAGGAACACTGCTATAAAGTACTAATTTGCTTTTAAATACTAGTTAAATATTAGAAAGTCTTTTTTGTTAAAAGGTAAATTAAAAACATACATGTTGTTATTAAAGTATCGAGTAGAAAATCCTGAAATTCCAAAAAACCCAATGCGATTGGCTCAAATCTCGACTCCACCGAAATCAAAGCATGGCTGAAATTCCCACTGACGAAAATTTTGACCCAGCAAAGAATCATTATTTTTTTTGTCACCCGGAATAACGTTTGAATTTGAAAAAAAAAACAACAACTTAAATAACATAAACTTAGAAAAGAAAGAGAAATCAACTAAAATCAATCAACTTTTAAACTAATCTAAAAGAAATCAACTTTTTGCCAGTTTGGTTCAAAAAGATTTTAAAATATCCGGTTGTGATCATGCTTTGTTGAGAAATGCAGATGTCTCCATTTTATTTTTTATTTTATAACCGTCGTTGAGCAGCCGACCTAACTTTATGGGTTTACTGCTACCAACTCTGTTCAACTCGGTAGCCTTGTAATTTTGAACCCACTCCAGAAGACAAGGGAACTCCTGGATCGAGTATTGGGAGAAATTTTGCCTTCGTGGAGGACTTTTTGATGGAGCTAACCCGCATTTGCATTACATGGAGAGGAAGACCACGAGAGCCTCACATGGTTAGCCTGACGGCAAGGGGACTCTAACTCATGATCCGTGTACCACTGAGGATATTTCACGTCAGCACTGTGGTCGGTGCAAGCCGGAAGCGGAATTCGTATCGACTGGGGTTCGAACCCGGTTTACCTCATTGGAAGGCGAACACTCTATCCCCTGAGGCATCGCGGGTCTAGATGTTACCATTTGAAAGATTGGAAGTCTTGCGCATGTGTAGTAACCGGGACTAATCACTTTCAATTCAGTAACAGGTCAAGATAGCTAGGGTGTTGGGCCCATGTCCAAGAGGTGATGAGTTCGATCCCCGACGGCCGAAGACTCTCCGTGTAGTAAATGGTTACTGGTACACTTTAAATCTTTCCGGTTATAAAGTTCTCTGTGTTTCCAAAGCAAATCATACCTATGGGGATACTAAATGGGACATTGTTTATTCTCTGGTTCAGGTCAAAAATACGATCAATGGGTAAAGGAATGGATGCATGAATGAGTTCACCCTATAAACTGGTTATGATGTATGTGTGTTCCAGAAGTGGAATTCTTTACCTTAGATTGCACCACTTGGAAACAAGAAGAAGCGCACCCCCTTTACCTTAATGGCATACGACAGCAACAACAAACCTAGTAACCGTTTTCAATCCAATTCTTGTATTCTTCTTTATAATGATTTATGTGCCAATGTTATAAATGTCAGTTTGGTTTATGTGCCATGATGCCACCGATTCGCAATCCGTATGATGTCAAGGGGGAAAAACAGTAATTTAGTAATTTTTCAATATTGTTTTAATTTAACCAATTGTGGTCCCACCGTTTTACTTTTTTGAAAGAAAAATATTTGCTATGCCTTCTAAATTACAATTTTTTAAAAAAAAATCTTTCTATAGACTTCCTATGGACTATAGACTTTCACACTTACGTATTTCTTAATGTTTTAATTACAGTCATGGTCAGAAATGGAAATCTAGAAGGCGATTGTTGACACCAGCTTTTCATTTTGACATACTGAAAGATTTCTTGCCAGTTATAAACGAAAGATCGAGACTATTGGTAAAAATATTGGAGGAAGAAACTACTAAAGACTATACCAGCATTGTTTCTCCAATAACACTTTGTAGCCTAGATATCATATGTCATGAGTGACAATTTTTTCTTCTCTTTTGTATTTATAATTTTTTTGCTGTTGAAAATAATTGAGAAACAGGCAGAAAAATCTTGTTAAATGACATTTTGCCCTAAGAAAATAGTAAAATCAGTACTACTATAGTATTATAAAGTTCACCGTACTTTCTGGCATTACAGGAGCACCTAATAATACGCTAATTTTCACCTTAGTACTTGTTGGTGACTTTTTTTTAAAATTATTAATAAAATATGGTTTCGTATCTACCTCTTTGGTAGTATGTTTGGTAAAATAAGAAAATTTTATCAAAAGAGTTGGTTTTCTTAGCGGTTCGTTTCGTCAAATCGTACACAGTATTAAATATTTTACATGCATTTTATTTATCATTAGTTTTGTAAGAAACTTTGCATAACGGTTTAAATCCATTTTAAGTTTTTCGAACAAATTTGTGATATTTTGAATATTTTCGATTCCTGCAACCTACTCAAATCAATAGTGCCGGGAAATTTTGTGAATCGGTACGTGGTACTTTAGAAATTTTAAGAACTGGTACGCAAGTATCGGTTAAATCCCATCATGACCTGAATAGGTATCCAGTGTGTGACTTCCTGACGTTTTTCAAAATAATTCAATCCGAATTTTTTTTTTTTCATAATCAAGTAAATATTATTTAACAGGTCTGCTCTTGTATTATTGTAACATTTACTCTCCAAATATTGTAAAAAATTTTATTTAAGAAAGATTTAAGAGTTTCGTTTTCTTTTGCTTTTAAGATTTTTTTTTCAATGCCCACTCGATTGACAATCGTCATTCAGGTATCGGTAATTAGGTGGGCCAACGTTGCTCCCACATTTAGAACATATATTACAGAAAATGAAAGAACACCCATTCCCTGTCCGGGACTTGAATCCGGGACCTTTCTCATGAGAGGTCAGTTCTCTGGCCACTATACAGCTCGGTCGGCCTGATTTTAAGAGTAGTCGTCTTACAGTTAAATATTTTATTTTTATGAAATTTGAAAGATTTTTCATTCTCTTTTTTAAGAAAATCTGTATCATAATCTATATAATACACCTAATCTGATCTTATGTTCCGAATAATAATTGCTTTTATATATATATTTTAGAATTCTCGTCAAAACTGAAATAAAAAGGGTATACACATTAGAGGTCATAAGGTGGGAAAGCAAAAATGCAATTAAAAACAGTGTAGCCACTATAGCTTGTCTAGAGTAAGAACTCCCCTAGACATTCGTCCGGACCAGTGGCAGTTACTGTGGTAACGAAGTGTATAATTATTTTAAGTAGGGGTGTGGGGTCACTGTTTTGAAAAGTTTCGGCTCGGGTCGACGAAAGAAAGGAAACCTTTTTCTTCGATCTACTGTGTTAGCCCTAAAGTGAAGCGAAGCTACCCTCCCTGAAATGCGCTATTCTTGTTTCCATAGCAGCAGGTGGCCACAGACTTTATGGCTGGGGGAGTTCTTACCGTAGACAAACTATACTTAAGAATTTGGGGTGAAAAGCATCAAAACCAATGTTGACCTCATAAACCTGGGTGATGTTTCAAGAAATTTCTTTGTTTCATACCGCAATCAAATAAGTTTTGGAAATTTTTAATCTCCCTACCTCTTCAGTGATTCCACAGTAGTTTATTTTTTTGTTCACATAGGCATTAATTTGCGTTCCCTAAAAAGCCTTCTTTAAATAAATTCTTTAAAGAAATTTGTGTGAACAAGTACATCTTGTACATGGCTATAACATTGCCCTGTAAAACCTTAAATCGTTTTTCCCAAAAATGCCATCTTTATTTAATGTCGGAGATCATGATTATTTATATTGTATAAAATCGAAGAGCATTCTTTTATTGGGAAATTTTTTCTTTTCAATAACCATTGTTTCTAAATTATAGTTAATGAAAAAAAATCGTTTTGTATTGCTTTTGGTCTTACCAACAATGTATAACCAACCAACAATAATATTACACTAGTTTCCAAAGGACGGTTAATTGCTGTTTCATATTCTACTATTTATACACTCTATAACAAACAAATCGACTCACCAAGAAGCAATCATCCGATTGCTTTGAAATTTCGTATGCATGAATGTTTTGAACAGATATGGCTGGAATGATGCCGACTGGGGACGTATAGTCTTTAGCGACAAATCCCGCTTCCAACTGCGTCCTGACGATCATCGAAGACGTGTTTGGAGACGCACAGGGCAGAGGGGGGATCCTGCCTTCACTATTGCACGCCACACNAAGCTTTTGTTGGGCTATTCGCATGATCCCTTTGGTCGTCATTAGAGGTACACTTACTGCACAGCGGTACGTCGACGACATCCTAAGACCTGTGACCTGTTTTGCTACCGTTTATTTTGCAGCGCCCTGGGCTGGTTTTTCAGCAGGACAGTGCCAGACCACATACTGCACGTGTTGCTATGAACAGTCTGCAAGCTTGTCAAACTCTTCCTTGGCCTGCCAGATCACCAGATCTCTCTCCCATCGAGCATGTCTGGTATATGTTTGGAAGGCGATTGCATCTGGCATGGAATGTTGATGACCTTGTTCGACAATTGGATCGAATTTGGCAGGAAATACCGCAAGAGACCATCCGGGAGCTTTATCGGTCTATGCCACGCTGTGTGTCAGCTTGTATCCAGGCTAGAGGCGGGTCAACGCCCTATTGAACTTGTTACTGTAACTCTGCAATAAATTATTCAATTGTTCTGAAATTTTAATCATTTACTATTCTGTACATTGTCTTCCTATCCACCAATTTTCATTTTAATCGGACTACTACTTCTTGGTGCGTCGATTTTTGTTTGTTTAGAGTGTATTTAGATAGTAAACTTTAATGGAGGTAAGCACTTATAATTTCTCCAGACAGATATAAATATGTTGCTATTTTGTAATAAAAAAAAGAAAAATGATCAAATGAAAAATCTAATGCGAACAATTCACAAAATTAGACTTAATAATTTGTATATTATTAATTATTATTCTCTTTTGCTAAATATAATAAACGCAAATTATTTCTAATGCGCCGAATTTTATTCAAATGAAGTAAGTTTTTTTTCAGAAACAACTTTAGGCGTTGACATAAATTGCCAAGAAAACAAGGAGTCTGAGTATGTCAAGGCTGTTGTGAAGTAAGTAATCATAAGAGTTATCATTTGCTCAAATAATTTATCGAGATAGCATCTTCACATTTCATATATGTTACTGCAACATAAATCTCGATTCTGTGACAATTTTTTTATTTACTTTATGGGAAAAAATGAAAAGCCGTAAATAAATCAAGTAATCTACTATGTCGCATCTTTCGAAATAAAGCAGATTTTTTATTTATTTATTTATATTTTTATCACCTGAAAATTGTGTGTGTCTGATATATTTACACGCGTGTATCTGATATGCTTACACACGTGCAAATGAATGATAACACTGGAGACTTTTTTTTTTATTTTCTGTTGCATAGGATTTTTTTAAATCTGACTTTAGATATTTTGAGGTCGCTGATTTCAAATCTGCTACCGGTAATCTAATGTAAATCGGCATTTTTTTGTCGAAATATGGAAGTTATATATAACAGGAGATAGGTTTGAGTGCTTGAAACTAGGCGTCCATTCACAAAGCCTTCTTTATTTAAATGTATTATTGTTATTCGAAAATTGCAAACATTCAATCCGCTTTTGATTTTTTTAAACGTTTATGAGACACTGACCACCGTGCTGACTTAAAATACCCTCAGTGGCACGCGTCCATTCACAAAGCCTTCTTTATTTAAATGAATTATTGTTATTCGAAGATTGCAAACATTTAATCCACTTTTGATTTTTTTTAAAAAGTTTATGAGACACTGACCACCGTTCTGACGTAAAATATCATAAGTGGCAGGCGTCCATTCACAAAGCCTTCTTTATTTAAATGTATTATTGTTATTCAAAAATTGCAAACATTCAATCCACTTTTGATTTTTTTAAACGTTTATGAGATACTGACCACCGTGCTGACGTAAAATATCCTCAGTGGCTGACGGATCATGTGTTAGAGTCTCCTTGCCATGAGGTTAGCCGTAGAAGCTTTTCCTGTTTCCCCTCTCCATGTAACGGAAATGCAGGTTAGTTTAATCAAAAAGTCCTCCACGAAGACAAATTTCTCCCAATACTTGATCCAGGAGTTCCCTTGTCACCTGGACTGGGTTCAAAATTACAAGGCTACGGAATTGAACATTAGTATCCATTAATTTAAAAATTCGGTCAGGAAAAATGAACTTAGAAGAAATTTTTTTGTATTAGAATGGAAATTAAATTATGAAATAAATTCAAAATAATAATTAAGTTACAATACAAAAAAATATGATAAAAGGTGATTTCAAAACAAAAAATACTTTGTTAAAATTCAGTGAAAATTTTAATTCATAGTCAAAGCTCACTACTATTAAACAATTTTCCGCGGTACCTATTCCTTTCATTAGACTATTAAAACATATTATCACAGTACCTGCAATAGTACATAAATATCTTAATATTTGGTACCTTTTAAAAACAGTATTTATTAGAATAATACCAGTGGAATTACTATAATTAGGAATCATTGGTGTTAATAATAGATTTTTAACTATTCCCCAAATCCAATAAGTACCTCTTCTTCGTTAACTTTGAATTTTAGTGCATAACTAATTTCGCTTAAAATCATTTAAATTTATGAAAATAAGTTGGAAAAACACAATTATAAACAAAATAAACATGTACTTCAGAGTACCGCTTATAGTCCAGGGTCACAAATTGAAGAAAACAGGACGCTGGAAACTATTGAAGGGAATAGTGGAAATATTGTGGTGTTAACTCTGGTACTCGAACCCCCGTTCTGTCAGACATGAGATTGCCAAATTAGCCTCTTTTCAATTATAATGTGCAGCAGCTGCAGAGTACTAAGTACCTTCATAAGGTGGGCCTAATTGATGCAATAAAATTCTGGTTGTTTAACCGTAAAGAGTAGTTAATAAACGATTTTTCTCAAAATTAACAGTTTGAATATCATCTTATTAATGGTTATTTGACTGTTAAGTTTGAATATGGTAAAATTACAGTAAAATAAATTGTTAATTAACCATTTTTGTCTGAGAAATTTCAAACAGTGAGCAGCTCCTAACGACGTACGATTGCATTTTTGAGTATGGTTTCCTATGCAATTTTAATCCTGATGATGTGCCCCAACCCATAAGAAGTTGTTGTAACATTTACGCGACCTCCTGTTATATATAATATTTTTAAATGTGTGCATTTCGACAAAAAATAGACTAAATATGTCAGTATAAAATAATCTATAGCTTTAGGAGCAAAATTAATTTCAGATTTGAAACCTCCACACCCGAATTATGCAAGATCAAGTATTTGTATGAATGCAACAAAAAACTTGCTCCCCTGTGTAATCAATAACATCCTTTTCAGTTTTCTGATAAATACTAAGATTAATTGATAATCATTTTGATGAACTTTTTCTTAATGCAATTATCAAAGACATAAGAAAAAATAATAAATTGAAAAAAAGAATATATATAGGAAATATTTTAGCTTTTTCGATTGTATTTGCGTATGACATCAATTTTGAGCATTGTGTAGCATAGATTTATATTGCTAATTTAGTTAACTTTTTGTTTTACCCTCTACGAAGAAGGAGTAATTAGCTAGTAATACAAATGAAGAAACATCCATGCGATTGTAGTATCCTAATTTCGCAGATTTTGTGCCAAAGTTTCTTTTGAAAATCAAAAAGTTGTTGTTGTAATATTTGTTTTTGTTATAATATTTAAAAAGTTATACTTCTTTCAGAGTTTCCGATGTTGTGACAAAAAGAATTACGAATATGTTCAGTTGGTTTGATTTTACTTTCTTCTTAATTGAAGGAAGAGGAATTAAAAAAGATTTGAAACTGCTTCATGATTTTACTATGTCTGTAAGAAACATTACATTTTCCTTTTCTTTATCCGATAAAGATGAGTTAAGATAATTATTTTTGCTGATTTCGATTTCGTACACATCTGTTATCACTGGCTTAAATGTATAGCTTTGAATTCAGAACTACGGAAAATATACAGCGCATTTTTTGCGCTGCATATTTTCCTTCTTTTTTGGCTGACAAAACAGAGTGAATTATTCAAATTTCCACCTTTTCAACTTTCCACTTTCACAAAGAATTGTCAAATGTTAAATATAGAGCAGTGGTGGCTTAGGCGATAGAGCTCTCTCCTTCACAGAAGATGAACCGAAAATAGCTGGACGATTCGAATTCCACACCAGCCTTGCACCGACCACAGCACTGACGCAAGACATCCTCAGTGGTAGGCGAATCACGGCTTAGAGTCCCCTTGCTGTCAGGCTAACCATGGGAGGTTTACGTGGTTTTTGCCCCCATAGTTTCTTCAAAAAGACCTCCATGAAATTAAATTTCTCCCACTATTTGATCCAGAGGTTCCTTTGTCTTCTGGATTGGGTTCAAAAGTACAAGGCTACAGAGTTGAACATTGCAGTCGTAGACCCAAAATTGGGTCGGTTGTTCGAAATAAAATATTAAATATAAGTCCTTAATCGTTACATTAATTTTCAATTGTAAAAACATTATACTTCGATTTTTCTTTTTAGATTTATCTAATTATCAATATACTCACAAACGGGTTGTGAGATTATAGCAAACTATAATAATTTCCATTCCGCTTAAAAGCCAAATTTTTTTTTCGATTTTTCCTCTTGCATTAACTTCTTACGAGCCTGTACATAATACCCAGTTTTTACTCGCAATTAATTTCAATGGTAATGATTTCAATGGTTAATTTCAATGGTACAAAGGATTGCAATTTGGTCTCAATAGCCAGTCAGGAGATGGATAGTTTTAATTCATCTTTTTGCATATTTAGCTATATTTCAACAGCTTTTAAGATAATGGAATGTATGTCATGACGTGCTATTGCGGACAGCTATTAAACAAAGCTTTCTAACTCTTCGTGTACTGGAATGTACGACTATGGTGGTTGGAGCATCCTGCTATGATGCCGGAGGTCCTTGGTTCGTATCCTGCCGCTAGATAAGCGCCATCTCTCTCACACGTTTCTCCATCCTCAGCCCTTTTGATGCTAAACATTTTGCTCAAAAGAGATTACATAAATGACAAATTGTCAAAGGAAAGTAACATTACTTTTATAAATATGTATAAAGTTTAAGTAATAAATTTATAAATTTTAAGGAGAATTCAATGAAAATTTAAGGTGGAGAAAATGACATTTTGCCAATTTTCTTGTGTATTAAGTTAATGCATTAGGTTAAAATACGCTATATCTTTCTCATTTATTTAAGGAATCTCTACTGATTCCACTCTACTGATTTCTAGGCATTCGGGTAAAACAAATCGACGTTCCTAGATGATCTATTAGGCACATGCATAGCTGATATATCTAGGCACTATCCGTGCATTAATTAAACAAACGGAGATTTATAAAATCGGACAACGAACCAAGATATGCAACACAAATTTTAAAACAAGTCATCATTCGAAATTTTAATATTGATGCTTAATAATGATATTGTTCTCAACTCTGCTTACTAACGATACAGACATATACAGAGTGATTCAGTACAGTAGTTATGAACTTGGAGAGAAGGTAGGTTACAATTTTTATTTTAATTTAATAACTGTCGTTGAACAGCCAACCCAATTTTGGGTTGGCTACCACAAATGTTCAACTCCGTAGCCTTGTAATTTTTGAACAAATCCAGAAGACAAGGGCAGGTATTGGCTGGATCAGTACCTCCAGAGTTTTGGGAAGGTGGAGGACTTTGAGACTCGGCGGATTTAATGTGCATCAGTCACCCTTTACTGCACGGGAGTCTTTGGTCGGCAAGGGTCGAACCCATGAACTCTTGGACATGGGCCCAGGGGCCCTACCAACCAGGATATCCCGGCCAAGGTAGGTCACATTTTATATTTTATAACCGTCGTTGAACAGCCGACCCAATTTTTTGAGTTTACGACTGCGAATGTTCAACTCCGTAGCCTTGTAATTTTGAACCCGATCCAAAAGAACTCCTGGATCGAATATTGAGAGAAATTTACCTTCGTGGAAGACTTTTTTTGATGGAGCTAACCCGCATTTGCGTTACATGGAGAGGAAGGCCACGAGAACCTTCCACGGTTATCCTGACAGCAAGGGGACTCTAGCCCCTGATTCGTCTACCACTGAAAATATTTCACGTCAGCACTGTTGTCGGTGCAAGTCGGATGCGGAATTCGTATCGGCTGGGATTCGAACCCGGTTCGCCTCATATGAAAGCAAACGCTCTATCCCCTGAGCGATCGCGGCTCAGGTAGGTCACTTTGTAAATAGTCAGAGTTGCATAATAACGGGTCTATGTTCGAAAACGTCATCATACGACACATAGGGCGCCTCTATGTTTGTTACCGCTACTCTCAATTACCCAGTATATGAAATTAAAAAAAAATTCAATATTTCACATTGTGATCCTTTTTTAGGTTAATGAAAAAATATCTAACTTTCTCGAAATTGTTAAAAAAATTTTTTACCCATTGTCTTTGTTTTGAATATAACATTTTAATTCTTCATATGTCTTTAAAATTTCATAAAATTATTTATTGCATCTATTGAAAGCAAAGGGGGTCAAAGAGGTCAAGACCCTGAAATTTCATGTTCAACGTCATGCTAGTGGCAATATGATTAGCATTGCTGATTGGCTGTCTTTAATTTCCAGCCAAGCAGGCACACATCGATCTGAAGCTGGGTGGGCTTCAAGAAGGTGCAGGGGATCAAACCCCTATAATTCACAATAACAGTTCATTGCCTTACCCACAAAACAATGGTGGCTCATTCATGCCTTAAGAGGAAGCCATACTGCGGAAGAAAATTTTCCTTGCAAATTCTCTTCCTCCTTCGCTACTTATTTAAAATTTGTAGCATGGAAAAAGTGAGTTTAGGCAAACTTAAAGCAAGCCATGAAGTTTCAAATATTGGAAAGAAATTTTCAAAATGTACAAATGAAAATAAATTATGAGACGATAACTTAGGATTGCGTAACAGAGAAGTTCTCCTCTAATAATTTGTTCGCATTTTAATATTTTGAAATTTATTTTTCATCAATTGAAACTTCATAACTTACTCAAGGTTTGCCTGAACTTACTTTTTCTTTCTTTTAAATTTAGAATGAAGGAGAAAGGGAATTTTCTATGGAAGGTTTCTTCTGCGGTATGACGTCCTCTTAAGCTGAATCATTTCTCGTGTAATTTTTTTCCCATTTCTCTCGTATAACTATTTGCACATCAACCTCATTACTTAAATTCTCATATTCGAGCTGATGTACTAAAACTAGGACATCAATAGTCTATCTATTATGGATAACAAATAATTTTAATTTATTCTTTTATCTCATTTCTGAATTTAACTAGACCCCTAACTAGTTTTAAGACCTACCACTAGTTCATGGATAATTTCAAACTAATATTTGCATAGGAAGCTGAAGTTATAACTAGATAACCTAGCTTTAAGAAAATGTATTTGTATCTCGAAAACTAAATATATTGAGTTATCAAGTTTTAGTACTGTAACTGCGATATGACAGGCATTTTACATTACTAATTTTTTTATATACTTATTTATTTTCTTCTTATTAATTACTTATTATTCTATTTTTACTTTTTTTAAATTTCTGTTATATAGTTCATCGTTCATAATTCTTTTTGTAATTACACATTACGTACCATGTAAATGTCAAGTTATTTTGTTAGTGTTATAATTAAGCAATTAAAAATTAAACACTAATTATTGATGTCATTCTTGCATTCAAATATCGTTATTGTATAAAATAGCATATTTTTTTCTTCTTTGCAAATGTCAGGTGATCAGAGAAAAGAAAAGGCAGATGCTGAGTAGCAGTAATAATGATTCTACAAAGAAGAGAAAAGCTCTGATGGACTTGTTGTTGCAGCACCATATCGAGACCAAAGAACTTTCGGAGGAAGACATCAGGGAGGAAGTGGACACATTCGCTTTTGAGGTGGGTTTGTTGTTGTTGTTGACGTATGCATGTTCAGGCAGAGGGGGTGCGATTGTTCTTGTTTTCCAGTGGCGCCATCTATGGCTAAGAATTCGACGCTGTTTTTACTCTGTAAATGAACTGTGCAATGTGTATTTTCCCACTTTTAATGCATCTTTTTAGAATTCTTTAAAAAAAATCTAAGTGTGCCTCTCAATAATATTTAAGTTCGAACAAAAATATTTACCCAAATCTGGTAAACCATTAATGAAAAATTTCATGAAGGCTTAAGAATGAAGTAAAGCAAAAGAGAACAAAGAAGTGATTAAATAATAATTGAAATTAAATACTATATTGTAAAAAAACTCTGGATCAAATTGCGATATAAAGTACCGGCACTTTGGTTGCATCATCTGTAAAAATTCCTTTTGCCTTAAAATTCATTTTTACCGTAAAATATTATGCCGTTCTTTTTACAGTAATATTTACCGTAAAATCACCGAAACACTCTAATTAAATAAATATTACTATAAAAATTACAGTTGATCAGAGTTTTTGTTCCGTAATATGTTCCAGTAAAAATTAATTTCACAGTAAAAAGAATTAACATCAGGAGTGCCAGTAATTTTTCCCGTAATTTGATACGAAATTTTTAACAGTGTGGAATGTTTCATTATTAGTAAGCTTTATATTCACTCTAACTTGTTTTTATCGATTAAGGCTTATTTTATTTTTTGACCTTCAAAATGATTGTCATAGTTTTGTGAGTTTCCGTTGTGTATGCCTTTTTTGTAAATTAGTACTGATTTATGCTCAGTATGTAATATATTTCTTTTACTTCCTTTTCTAGTGGGCATAGCTTTTAACTTCTTCTTAGTTTTTACGAAACACAAATTTTTCACGCGTTAAGAAACGAAAGCTTATAAAATCTTTAATTTTTCTTGTTTCTTCGACTTATTTTTCCATATAGTTACGCATGCAATCATCATCAAGAAACTGAAAGTTTAAGAGAACTTTGGTATTGAGAATTTATTACTTGCAAAAAATTTAATTTTTTGAATGATGGAGTTTTTACCATAATAGCAACAACACAAATCTTAGACTCCTCGAAATCTAACAATAAATGGACCATTTCTTGGAACATATTTTTATCGGCAAGTGCGTAATTATATAGAGTTCTAATTCTTCCATAAAAGTTAAGTAACTGCAGTCTGAAAATCTATTAATTCATAATGGCAACTTTTTTTTCAAAAGTTGAATTTAGTTTGTACAGTTGAAATACCATTATAATGAAAACTCTAATATTTACAATAAGACTAGAGGACTACGTCCCCTTTTCGCTGCCGTTCACCAACCCCGACGATTGCGTCAAAATAATAGGCGTCTCTAAACGTAAAACACTTTTTCTACTAATGTTGAAATAACTCATTTAAAATACATATCTATTAATTTTCAGGCTAATGTTCGTAATGTTTAGAATATTGTTCGTAATTTTTAGAATTATGTTCGCTGTATAAAAATGAAACAAGTGGGTAGCCATTTGTGGTAATATAGAGGTGTTTTAAAATTTCCTAGCCAAAGTAATAAGAAAAAGCTGACGTAGAAGTTTTCACCCAAGACATTACCAGTGTCGAAGTCGTAAATATTGTAAAAATATAATGAACATTGTGCACTATTCGAAACCACTGTCAGACTGAAAATATAAAAATGCATGATAAAGAAGATTACATAATTTTAGGTTACAGATTTAATTGTAATCCCACTCAAACATAATTACGGCAAAGGACTTTATTATTGCTAATAATATTGAAGCAAAATTGCAAATTCAAGTAAAAAAAAAAACGTGGATAGAGCACAAATGTAAGTAAATAAATGAACATGCTATAGTTCCAGTTTCATAAACAAGGACCTTCTTCAGTATCCGAACACCAAATGATGGTAGTGAAAGTAAGGAGATAAACACGTGCAAAGTATTTTGACCTATAGGGACAGAGGAACAAGTTAGAACAAAAAATAAAAAGGGAGATAAGAAACAAATGTGAGGGGATTTGGCAGGGTGCAACATATTAAATTAGAATAGATCTCCAAATGTTGGGAAATGGTGGCGTACAAAAAAGATCATTAACTAAATTTTCAGAATGTTTTAAAATATAGAATGACACGCAAAACTTAAGTCCAGAAGATGACGAGCAGTATTGAATGATTTTCGCAGACCAGTGATTAGAATTCTCACTCTGTAGAGCAATAAAACATATCACATAAACGGATTACATTGACTAATCTTATCTCTCCTTTTATTTCCTTGTTCAAACTTGTTGCTCTGTCTCTATTCGTCTAAATATTTTGCATGTATTTGTCTCTTTACTTTCTCTACCATCATCTGGTGTTTAAACACTGAGGAAGGTTCTTGTTTATAGAACTGAAACTATAGTATGTCCGTTTATGTACTTTCATTAGTGCTTTATTCAGACTGTCTTTTGCTTTAGTCTACATAGCACAAAGTATACTCTATCCTTTTTTTTGGAGCCATCCTGTATAGTACAGCTTTCAGGAGAACTCCTCTAGACAGCAGTCTCGAGTCAAAAGTCACTTCGAATAGGTCAGCGTGAGTAAACCAATCGACACCTTCATTCCTCCTTTGCACCNGGTGAACCTGGTCTGCAACTATGTTCAAGTAGCTTACAGATGTCAGGGATTGTTCTATGAGGATTATGGGTCCTAATGTGCTCCATGAAAACATTGTTCTTGGGCGAGAAACCAGGAAAACCTAGGCCAGCCCATTGTTATAGATGGAGGGTGGTCATAATGTAATGGCTCTTCGGTGCACATGCTTAGATGAGATTGTATGAAAGTAATTTATTAGTTTTTCTTAATTTTCATTTTACTGAACTCTAATGTGCTAAAATAAATATTGTTGATTCATGTTTTTTTATTATAATTATTGATTTGCTGATAAAGTTAAAAGCAACAGCTATGTTTTTCATGAAAATATAGGGTCATGATACTACTTCCATGGCGATGAGTTGGACTCTATATTTCATTGGCCTCTATAAAGATGTTCAAGAGAAAATTCACGAGGAACTTGACGAAATATTTGGTGAAGACAGAGACAGGGAAATCACCACAGACGATTTGAGAGACATGAATTATTTAGATTGCGTCTTGAAGGTATAGTTAATAATTTTGATTTTATAACTATTATAAAATTGTAGATAAAGTAGATTGTTTGAGATTTAACATTCTCCATATGAAGCTACACCAACAGTATAACGTGTTTCAGAAGTATTGTAGAATTCAAATTAGTCCATATTAAAGTCTGGTGCAAATTTGAACCATATTTATAGTTCACGTTTCATAATTTCTAACAGAGTAACGGGTAAAATATTTTTTTGGTTCAAGAAAACAGCTTTTGATTGTCTCCACAGTTGAAAATTCCGGATCAAATTCCGTTATAAAGTACCAGCACTTTCGGTGCATCATCCATAAAATCAATTTTTACATTAAAATATTATGCCGTAATTTTTACGATAGCGCTTATTTGATCAAAATAATTGAGAAATTTTACGGTAATTACTATTGTAAACATTACAGCATAGCAGATTTATTTGTTCATTTACATGTTTCTGTAAAAATGGATTTTATGGTAAAAAGAACCGGCTACCTGAAAGTCGGTACTTTTCACCATAATTTGATCCTATATTTTTACAGTGAATGGTTTTATAATTTTCTGACTGTTTTTATTGAATACACAGACATACGATAAAAGTTGCTTAAGAGGCATTAATTTCAAACGTTTTAATATATTCTCAATGAGCGAATCAATTGAGGTTTATAAAAAAATAAAATGGAGAAAAGGACGTTAATAGTATGAATTTTGATTTGAACTTATAGGACATTGTTTGTACGTGTATGTTCGTAAAATTATCTCGTTTAAGAAGTTACCACTTAAACAATTGAAAATTACCTCCTCACTGCAAAATTTCCGGATCAAACTACGGCACAAAGCTCTTTAGGTGCATCATCAGTAAAATCCATTTTTATCGTAAAATATTGCAACGTAATTTTTACATTAACATTTATTTAAGGAGAGCGATTGAGTAATATCTATGCATATACTTCTTTTACACGGCGACAAAAAAAAAGCCTCATTACAACTCCCTGAATGGCAACGCTAGAAAATCGACCAATGATTGCCTCAAAAAATGTCACCTGCCAAATCTAGCTGAGATGGCTCAACATATAGCGCTTTTAAAAACAGAAACTGAAATAACCAGATAGAGCATAAGCTGGGTAGAAGTGAGTAGTCTTTGTCGATAGATCTCTATTTTAGTATTTTGTCGAAAGCGCTTTTTTTCACGAATTTATATATTACGAATTTATTTGACGATTTTTGATTTATATCACGAATTTATTTGTTTTACTAGAATTTATTTGTTTATGCAGGTTTTTCCATTGCAATTCACTTATTTCAATTTTTAATAGACTTAATTATAGCCAAAATTTTAACCTTTTTAAAGAGATATCAGTTTTAGAAATTTTATCTTAAGATTTTATACTATAGCACATTTCTAATAGGTTTAACGAATTACATGTCATTTATTTGAATTCAAATTTATTTTAATGACTTAGTATTTACTAAAAAGATGTAATTTTTTTTTTAAAAAAAAGTTGTTATATGGATTTGAATGATTGTTTTGAATTCTTATAATTTTGTGCATTTGCAATGTACCTAAGTTAGTAGCGAGCGAAGCGAGCTTAGTTTACGGAGCAAACCATATAAGATTGCGTAGCAATTTTCGGGGGTTGGCGAGCGTTAGCGAGCAGGGGGAGCAGCCTACTATTATAGGAATTATTACAGTAACAATTACAGCAAATCAGCATTTTTGTTTCCTATCATATACCATTACAAAAAAGGATTTTATGAAAAAAAGTACCGACAACCTGTGTGCAGATACTTTTTGCCGTAATTTGATCCAGAACTTTTACAGTGTTCTCCCCAAGAATAGTTTTAAGATTTTCTGAGTGCTTTCATTGAATACAAAGAGATTGGATAAAAATTAATTGTGTTGTAGTAATTTCAAATTTTTTAAGATATTCACAAAGAACGTATCACTTAAGCTTTGTAAGAGATAATAAAATGCCTTTTTGAATGCAAAAGAGCGTTATTAATATGAAATTAACCTATAGTACTGTTGCACTGATGAAGGTTGCCCTTTGAGCATCCGAAACAGCTGTCTGCATTTGTAAATATTTTTTGTGCTCTTAAACGTTGTTTACCTTAATTTGTATTTTAGCACAAAGTCGCCCACTTGTGTATCTATAGTACATTATTTTTACTTTCGTGTACACAAAATTATCTCCTTTAAGTTACCTTAAGCACTTTAAAATTATCAATACACTGTAAAAATTTCTGTATCAAATTACGGAACAAAGCATTTTGGGTGCATCATCCGTAAAATCTTTTTTACCGTAAAATATTACATCGTAATTTTTACAGTAATATATATTTAATACAAGTGTTTCAGTGATTTTACATTAACTATAACTGTAAAACATATGGAATAGCAGACTTTTTGTTCTGTATCATTTTCCGGTAAAAATGGATTACCGTAAATTGATTCGGAATTTTTTTTTTACGGCACAAGGTACTTTGGGTGCATTTCTTTCCCTGATACTTAAATTTGAATACGAAAACTGGAATTAAATTTTGTGGGACAAAGTTTGAAATGAGTAGTAATATTATGATTGTTCGATATTTTTTGTTAGAGTATTGTTCACCGCTGTATGTATTATATTGGAATACTGTTGATTCTTGACTGTAATTAAATGGTCATTATAAATTTTAGTATATATTTTTAGGAATCTCTGAGACTCTGTCCATCAGTTCCTGTGATTGCGAGAAAAGCAAATACAGAAACGAACATATGTAATTATGTGTCTTACACTTTTTAACGAACATGTCATTGTATTTATGTATTTCTGAAAATGTGTTAAAAATAACGCAGAGATGTAAATTTAATCTTATATAAAATACTTAAGTTTAAGATATAAATTGCTTTTTCCGTAATAAAATATTAAAAAGATGAAATTTGCTGGCTTAAATCAATATTTAGTGATTCGTGCACAATTTAGAAAGTTGGTGATCATTTCTAAAAACCCTTTTAACACCATCTGGGCTTTTATTTTTCATTAAGAGAATTCAATTTTTTGTGACGGAATTCAATCAGATATTATTTTCTCAGTTAACTAAGCAAATTTTGGAAAATAATATAAACTGTCATAAATAATTATACAATAAAAAAGTAATAATCAAAAAAGTAATTATATAAAGTACTTTATAATGTAATTACAAAAGTAATCATATAAAGTACTTTTTATTTAGAACTAAAAGTAAAGTAATATAAATGTAAACAGCAATGTGATCTCATTTTATGCAATTTTAGCATAACGCAAGAGAAGTGCGATAGCACATCATTGCACTCAAACAGTTTATGATGGACCACGAAACATCTTATAAAAGAGACTGAAAAAGAGAAGAGCAAATAATGTCAAGCATGATATAAGAGTTTACAATTATAAGCAACACAATACAATAAACCACGACGGGCAACTAACTACCATTTTAAGACCCAACAACAATTAACAACAATTAGCAAAGCTATGGCAACTAATAAAGGTACCAACACCTAATAAAACTAACTGGAAATCAAATGATAACTAATAAAACTGATTTAAGTAACTAATGAATCTAAAATTATTTAACAATTTAGTAACGTAGCGAACAATCATTTAAAGTTCATATCCTAAAAGCTGAATATAAGAAGGTTCTATTTTATAATTTTAGTTAATTATCTTTAAAAGTGCGCGTTATTCTTACTTGTATTTGAATCCCTAATTTTATTTTTAGCCCGAAGTATTGAAAAGATTCAATGAATATCTATGTGTGTTGTTTCCAATGACACTGAGACAAGCTAAGCTCGCCAGCTATTGGCCTTTTGCAAAATAAGTCAGGAAGGCGCGCCTTTCATTTGACAAGAGAGCACTGCAAGGATGAAAGTACATCTTGTCTTAGAATCTCATGGATAGATGGCAGCCCAATACAATCATGGAGCCACTTCTTTCTTCAATTTAGGCATGAAGGGGAACAAAATTTTCTCCAGATCCTTCCTCCTCTGATACTTCTTAACGACCAACCACATGGCTTTCGATTACACAGATTTTACGAGCACGTTATCGTAAGCACTCGGTGGATCGTAGTAGAGTCGAGGATTGAACCCTGACCGGACCTTAGTCCGATTCTGTAACCAATGCTCTACCATGGCCACTATAAATACCTATGACTCATTTAAACACTTCATGCCTCCACGTTTATACTCTTTACGTATTAATAAGCAGGCAGAATCAATGCTCTCTAAGATTGTCATCTGCTGTTTCTTTTCAGCAGCACATAGAACCTTCACCTATGAAGTACTGTCAATGAAGCACTATGAAGTAATAACAAACAATGAAGTACTATCATTTATAGATATTTCTTGTAAGATCTTTAAACTTTATTGACTTAGCAAAATGAATGAATTTTGCCCAGTTAAATGAGATAAAAATAAGATATTCTATAGGGAAATCTCAATTGTTTTTTTTTTTCTTCAAAAATATCCTTCAAAACCTTTTATGTGTGAGCTCTTTAGTTAAGGAAAGTTTTTATTTAACAGGTGGTTATCAGATTCCAAAAGGTGCTTCACTTGTCATGATGCCTTACAACTTGCACCGGAATGAAGAAATATATCCGAATCCGGAAGTGTTTGATCCCAACCGTTTCACTCCAGAAAACTCAGCAAATCGTCACCCCTACGCGTACATTCCCTTTTCTGCCGGATCAAGGAATTGCATTGGTAAGTCTTTCTCAATACAAATGATATCAAAATATCAGTATAGAATTATCTTAAAGCAAAAATTTTCTTCTCAAAGCAGAAACATAAAACGATAGAGAATTAAATACAGCAAAATTTTGATCATCCGAATTGCTTACACTATTAACCAGCTTCGGATTATAAGATTCTAACTCTTAATTTTCTATGCTAAATTCTGAAAATCGAGATAATTACATGCAGGTTAACGCTTCCCCCCTTTTTTTCATTAAAGGGAATGCCTTAATAGCTAAACCAAACTACATTAATAAATAAAAAAAAAAGATTGAAGTTCACAAATTAACTAACACCAAAATATGCAAAATATTAAACTGAAAAAGTTTTATTGTTTGCTCACTGAAAATTCTCAGTCAGCAATATCATTTCTTTCTTATAATTGAGTGAGAGTTTTTTTTTCTTTTGGTGAATGGTGAATATAACATTTGAAAACATTTATATTTCTAGAGTTATTTTTTTAGGAATTTGACTTTTAGATAAAAGCTGAAAATTTCGGAAAAACACCCCTTTAATGGAAAAATGTTTTATAGTTCATAATTTTGGGATTGATTTATTTTGAGGTTCAGCTGGGTAAAATATTGAAGTGTTTACTCGGCACAATGGGGTACCTGCAAGTGATGTAGTGTGGGTATCTCGGTCCTGATTGGTTGCTGAAATGTGGCATTTGTTTATGCTATCAACTTTTCTCTTCTTTCCATAACGAGTAAGTGAGTTCGTCAAGTATCAATTGTCTTAAGTGACGCATTCTACATTCTTTCAGAAAGATTCTTTCTCAGAGATTTCAATTGTTCCCCTATTTAATTTTTACTTAACACAGAGATAGGCACGAAGCCACGTAGGACACAAGCAAACTAATTGTGCATCGAAGTTGACAGATACACAAAACAGAAATAAACACGGTTGCACTGAATTGCATACACAAATAATAAATCTAAGTTTAGTAAAAGACGTAGACAAGAAATATTTATAACTTAACAAATTCGATGTGTGATACGGCATCGTATTTAATTAACTTCTCGTTAATTAACATTCTAACTTATGTGGAAAACTAGCTAGACTTTAACACGTCATTTTGTTTATAAATAATCAGCTGGTGCTGAGGTCATTGGTGACGTGTCTGTGTATCAGTGATCCTCTTCTTCTCGAGTTGCAAGCACCCAATTGAAACATAAAATGTAGCGAATCATTTTCCAATAAGAGATTTCTCGACTTAACATCGAATTCCATACTTTTGTCAACTAGAGAATAGCTTGTTTTCTACTAAAGAATATTCTTTGCCAGCCAAGGAGTATTTTGTTGTTTACCGGAAAATTAAAAAAAAAACTAATTTAATAAGTGTTGTTTCGTGATGAACTGGAAGATGTTAAATAAAACAATATTGCAATGAAACATCCTTCTTTAATAGAAACAATCCATGTGGGGGTGGAGTTATCGACAGTGTCAACCTTCTTCTATGATAAGGTACCCCCACCAGAATTTTAACTGTGATAAAATTAGATGAACGGGTACCACTAGTTGATTCATTGCTGTTTTGTGAGAAGCCGGGAGAGCTCTATTAAGATCACCGTACTTTTTGAATGCTAATCGTGAGAGCTGTATTAAGTTCACGGTCGTGGTCGCTCCTGTGCTGCCATAAACAGTCGAGTGAATGCGTTGTACGTTATGTGTGATCGAAACTGAGTACTAACTGCATGAGGATGTTGCAGTCACAAGTAGCAAGTCAACTGTTTAATGTGGACCATCCATCGAAGTAGGCGTGTTCAAATCGTAGTGGGCGTTGCTGCGAAGGTAGGCTTGTTCATATCACGTCCGGGTCACCAATGTGGGGAGAGTAGATATCGACCATGTCAACCTTCATCTATGTAGAGGTATCCCTACATGGAGTCGAGATAACATGTCTTATATACTAGTGAATTGTAGTTGTAATTTTGTAGTGGTAGATACGCTACAATAAATAATAGCAAAGGTTTTGACCATTAAATAATCTGAAATATTTGTGATGCTGAGGAATTATAAAGCTTTATTAATACAAAGTTGTGTTCGGTTTTAAAGTTGACGACAGGTAACGTTTCATGCAGTTAGGAATTGTTTTCAGGTATATATAAGGTATTTTCTTAAAAAAAAGGGAAGTAGGCAAAAGAATCTCCAAACTAGATTCATGAATTTCATCAATCAAATACAATTATAAAGTCTACTGGAGTGTAAAATCATCCAACTGAACTTTCGGGTGACACTTTTATTACCAGTAAGTCAAAAAGGATTAGAAAATGAGGAATTTAGTATATATATGGTAGACGTTTTACGTGTATTAAAATATTTCATCGGGGCAATCATTGTTATAAAAAACATTGATGTTTGTGATAAATATCATTGCATTTTTATTTTCGAAGTGCAGTATTTTTGTATAGCATTAAAATTTTCCTAAAAAAAATTCAGAAATAATCAATAATGCTTCCATGTTACCTTTTACAAGCTCTAAAAAATAGACAGAAATTAAACAGTGATGTACGACGACATTTCAATAATTATTATTAATAATATTAATATTATTAATTATAAGTTTGAAATCTTAACGAATTGAAATCCTATCCACTTTGACGTATGCAGTCCCTTCCAAAAATAGTGAATTAAAGAATCGTAAATTAGAGATGAAATTTAATGTATAAGGAAGTTGAAATATTATTCCAATACGACAGTATATCTTTTTGAAGCTTGTGTTTTACGTATGGTTTAAGTGTTTTTAATTGAGATAGAGAAATACTCTTGTTTCAGTGTTACGCCAGACAATGGCATGCATTTAATTACTTATAGATGATGGCTAATAAATTTTGACTACCATTCATACATACTTTTTTTTAAAAAAAGTATTAAATTCGTTTGACTGGACATGCATTTTAAAAAAAGGGTGCTCTGATTAATGAGCGAGCTGTGCCAACCACATATGTATACAATTCTTCCACTTAACAAAATTGGTAATTTTTATGATCTATGTTTAGTACGCTGCATTAAAGCTTTTAATTTTTTGTTTTAGGTCAACGATTTGCAATAATGGAAGAAAAAGTAATTTTAGCAAATTTATTAAGAAATTACAAGTTGGAGTCACTGGATCCTAGGGACAAAATGATAACCTCAATTGAACTCATATTACGATCCACTAAGGACATACGAATAAAAATTCGACCAAGATAATTTGGATGGACTGGTCATTCTTGGTCAAAATAATTATAATCTTTTATCAACTGCTTTTTGCATGTTTTTATTTTTTTTTTTAGAAATATTTTAAACGTATGCTTTAACTGAATGTTCCGTAATCACCACCTTTACTTTTGATATAAATATATAGAACCATTATGATATATATNTAAATTCCGATGTATGTCTGTATATATATAAATATATATATACATATATATATATATATTATAAAGGGAGCTGAGCACTGAACATTCTCCACACATCAGAAAAGTAATAATTTTAGTGGAACTGCTATACAATGTAAAAATACAAAATTCATAGTTGACTTATATTTTTAAATTATAAAATAAAGAGAAATAACAATAATTATTTCATTATTATTGAAGCTGTTAACTTTACTGTAAATTAATATATTAGTGAGCCATTTCATGAACAATAATTTATTTATTATATGGTACCAGTTTTTGAACAGAGTGTTCGTTATATACAACTAAAACTTTCAGAATATTACATTGCATATCTTTTTATAATTTGAAACATTTCCTTGAATAATTAAAAATTTTATGTATATCTTTGAATTTGTCTATTAAATTATGTTATATTCGTGTATATATTTATTACATAAGAATCCTATACTTCTTTTATGTTTTTACACGGTTTGTATTCCGTAATTTTAGAATCTTTTATTCTCTACATTATTTTTAACTTATGTATTTTTTTGTATTTATATGCAAAGTTTCTTTAATAAACTTTTCAATAATTATTGTTTCATCATTATTGCAGCTTATTTCATTTAAGTGGTTTTTGTAATATTTTGTAAAATAAAAAAAAGGAAATTGGAATTCGAATTTTCATTCTAAAATTATGGTAAAATAATCGGTAGCAGTCTGTACCTCCGGTTAACCATAAAGTTTATGGTTAGGAATATATTTTACTTTTACGAATTTTAAACCGTTTAAAACAGTTACGGTTAACATACCATGAATGCGAAACTATGCGGTTTTGTGGCCATTTACAACTTCCATAGTTTCTAAATCATAAAAATCCTCGCACTATACAGTATGAATATTATCTTTTTTATAGTTATTTGTCTGTTTTGGTTGAAAGTAGTGAAATAACAATTGAATAAATTGCTATTTAACCATTTTACCGAGACATTTTCAGCTATGTATCAGGCAGCCTGGAAGCATTTAAGCCTAATAATTTGACCATGCACACATCTCCTTCAAAAATAAAAAAAGTAATCTTCAAATCTTGAAATTTGAAATCTTTGTGCATCCCAAATTTTTTTAAAAATTTATTATGAGTATGAACGCAACGAACATAATGAGTAAGAAAACCTTTTTTAGGAGAACATATTATTTAAAGTTTAGTAATAACAAAAATAATCAGAAAAATTAAAGTGTCATTTGTTCGATTCATTCGATTGTTGGACCTATCGCTTTTAGTTTCTCATTCCCTTACTTTTAATGTTTCGAAATTTATTTTTTTATTAATTTCTATATCTTGTACGCCTGGCACATTTTTTTTCTTATTGCAAAGTGTTTGTATCACATGGTTTAGATTTATTCATATTTATGTTTTATTTGTAGCATTATTTTGCCTCTCAAATCTTTATCAAATTCTGAGCTTACAAACATAAATAATAAAAGTGCAATTATTGCATATATTTAAAGTGAATTTTTTAGCAGTATTGCCGTGTACTTTTAAATATAATGAAAACGTGCATATTGGTTTTTAAACCTATTTTTTTAGCACAAAATTCATACATTATTAAACAAAAAACATTTTCTCATTTATCTTTAAGCACAAGCAGACCTATTAAAATTTTTTCCCTCTGAAAATTTTGTTATGAAATCAGTTTGTAACTGCAAGCACATACCTTAGAAGAAGAAAAAAAAGGAATTTTGTTTCAAACTGTTAAGTTTATTTTAAGAATAAGATCATGATAACTTTGACTTATTTTCAAAGCTAAGATTTTTTTATTCCTTTTTCTTGTGTTTTAAAAGAAAACTAATTATGATTTTTAATTTAATTATGATTACTAAATTATGATTTTTAATTTACGAAAAACTGCTACGGGGGTATAAGTTATTTTGTTTTTAATGTCTCCCATTACATTTTCATTTCTATTTGTTAAATTAGATTTAAGTATTAAATTTATTCAATATTATTCAATGCAATAGTATTTATACAATATTTCCAATAGTTTTATTTTCAGTGATTAAGAAACTGATGAACTGTATGAGCTATAAAAATATTACATAGTCTCACTTTCTCCTTATTTCTGGTTAATATTCTTTGCAGTGATGTAACAAATGATTTTGCAGCTGTAACCAGGAATTATTTTAACTTTGCGAACACTTAATATCTTCAGAAAATACTGTTAAGACTTTTATAAACTAACGTAACTTACCTTGTGCAGCTGTAGACAAAATCAACTTTGTTTAAAAGATAAAAGACAAAAGATAAATATTAATTGGTTAAAGATTTCATTGGATGGGCTTAGTTGCTGCGTTAAGATTCTGGTCTTTTAACCGTATTGGATGCAAGTAGTTAATAAACGGTTTTCTCACAGTTGACAGTTTGATTACCATCTTTTTTAATGGTTATTACTCTTTTTTGTTTGAATATGGTAAAATAACAATTAAATGAATTGTTATTTGCCATTTTTTTCGAGAAGTTTCCGACCGTGTAAAATAACGGTAAAATAACTGGCTGCGGTCTGTCCATCCGATTAACAGTAAAATTTGCTATTAGGAAAATTTTTTTCTTTACGGTTTTGAAACCGTTTGTAACTTAAATGGTTAAAAAATCATCAATACAAAACTATAGGGTTTTGAAACCATTTAGATTTAGTATTTAGCTGAACATTATAAATAGGTCATGTTTGGCTTTTGGACATAGGAGATAGGTAATGGTTGAATTGAGTTTTGTCAAATGAACCGTGAAATGTGGCTTTATTAATTTGAATAGTAGCTCCATCTATCGTCAGAGAAGAAAAACAATAAACCTTTTTGAGTCAATCAGCTATGTGGTGCTGCCATCTATGTGATAATGAGATTTCTGAGTTCCAGTAGTCCAGTATTTGAAGAAATGGAATAAACAATGCGGAACCAACGCTGGGGTTCAAGCCCCCACCCAGACAGGCATAAGATTGACAGATTTGCCCAGTTAGCTACAGTACATGCGTACCTATGGGGCCTCCTAAGGGGCTCAGAATTAACGAATAAAATTCTGGTTGTTTAACCGTTTTAAATGAAAACAGACAAAAAACGATTTTTCTCACAATTAACAGTTTGAGTATCATCTTTTTTACGGTTATTTAACTGTTTTGTTTGAATTTGATACAATAAAGATTAAATAAATTAATTAATTTGTTAGTTAATCATTTTTTTCGAGAAATTTTTAACAGTGCAGGGAAATGAAAATCTGGCCAGATAATTCCCGGAGATCCAATTCACTCTTAGTGACTATCTCCATCAGAAGATTTATTTACTCAATCTTTCTTTTTTTCATATCTTATCGAAATAAAAAAAATTGGGTGAGATTTCTGTTAAATGAACTTCTCTGGCAAAAGATTAGATATCAAATTTATATAATTAAATTATCGTGTTTATTGATTTCTCAATACATCAGGAAAACTGTCAAAAGGAAAATAAACAACTTTATACGAATACGTTCGAATAAATGCTACGATTGAAAGCAGAAGAAATAGATCATAATTAATTAATAAATTTATTTTTAAATGGATAAAATTGTCACGATGATGAAATTTATGTTATCATTTAAAGGCGTGTGCATAGTAATAGTATCTTTGTGTGTTTGGGTTTTGTTTCAACAATTTCGAAAAAGAAGGAAGTACACAAAGATTCTTCCATCACAAATTATAGGACTGATACAAGTTTTAGGCTTGCGAAATTATACAGAGATTAAGTTACCTCCAACAGCAGGTAAGTAACATCTAAGTTATCATATTGTTTAATTGTTTTGGAACAGATATTTGAGTAAGGTTATGCATATATATATATGTGTGTGTGTATATATATAAGAATACACATAGTCTTATAGCCGTGAAGATATCAAAAGCCACAGAAAACTGCGCTGTTCCAACTTTTAGCTAGGGATTCTGAGATTCTGGATGGGGATGGGTTGCAATATCTTTTCTAGAGTAATCGAAGGGCATGCAAAAATGAAAATTATAGATATTTCTTTGTTTGAAAAGATAAAGCCGTGCAGACTGCATGCATTTAATTTTCGGAGTTGTCTTAATAAGTTTGTTTTCAAGCGTTATTCCCCTTCAACTTCAGAAAATATTTCAATCAGAATATTAAATATTTACGGCTCTTTGAGGTAAAAAAAATGATTTTCTACGTCTTAAAATTATAAATGAATCTATTTTAAACTATGAATTAATTTAGAAAGACATACCATCGTATATATATATATCTGTTTTGGTTGAAAGTAGTGAAATAACAATTGAATAAATTGCTATTTAACCATTTTACCGAGACATTTTCAGCTATGTATCAGGCAGCCTGGAAGCATTTAAGCCTAATAATTTGACCATGCACACATCTCCTTCAAAAATAAAAAAAGTAANATTATTTAAATATATATATGTGTGTGTGTATATTTGATAACGCAATTTTTACAGTTAAAGGCAACCGTTTCGAGAGCTAAATACCAGAGATAATTTTTTGCATCAGCTTTACTGATTTCACGATCAATATCCTGATAATTTATCAGTTGACTCATGAATAATAAATCACGATAAGATGCTTTAATAGCTTCCGGTAATTATACACTCCAGCAATAACTGTTAATCTGATGAGCCGTGTGACTCAGGGGATAGAGCATCCGCCTCCCAGTGAGGTGAACCGGGTTCGAATCCCACGATGACTAGTTGATACGTATTCCGCTCCCGGCTCTTACTAACCATAGTGCGGACATAAAATATCCTCTCGTATCAAAGGTGAAGCCCCCTTGCCGTCAGACTAACCGAGGGAGTTTTTCGTGGTTTATCTCTCTGTGTAATGCAAATGCGGGTTAGTTCCATAAAAAAGTCTTCCACGAAGGTGAAGTCTCTCCCAATACTTGATACTGGAATTCCCTTGTCTTCTGGATTGGGTTCAAAATTACAAGGCTACGGAGTTGAACATTGGTAACGTAAACACAAAAATTTAGTCCTTTGATCAACGACGGTTATAAAATAAGATAAAATCCGTTCGGCCTCATTCAAGATAACGTGAAAAAATACGTAGGAAACAATGTTTCACTTGCTTGTCTCTTCCCCTTCTCAAACCACTACCATTTCCTTCCAAAAAGTAGGAAGTGTGCAAAAGAGAGTAGCGATGTTTTTCGGTATCAATTATAACACACACTGCATAACAAAGATTTTTGGGAAGAAAAAAAAACTTTTCTGTTAATCCCCCCCCCCCAAAAAAAACATTTGAAGTGACAATATGAAAAATTACCCGCTAAAATGTTTATCTTGGTCTTGTTTATCCTACGACATTAATGTATTTCGCCAAATCTTTTTAATATCGAAGATCTCTGCGGTTGAAATATTTATGTAACAATATTCAAGTGATTTCATAGCGGAAGAGTTCATATGGAACTAAATTTATACGGAAATAAGTAATCGACGAGTAATCTTAGTCAATTAAAATGCCAAATATGCGAATAAATAGATTTCGTAAAATCAACAATCTATGCACGCATTACAAAGACATAGATAGATATCGTTGACCGCATCTTAGACCTAGCGTGACATATATGTCACAGAAATTGTGAGTATTCTATGAGAATTCTTCTGATTTGAAAAGGGCTGTTACTAAGGTCAGAAGCTAACGGAAGAAAATATAGTTATTCACTTAAAATAAAATTATCACTTTTTTTCACTTCTTTCATAGGAGCTTTTTTGTGCCATGGTATTTAAAAAAACAGGTCTCAATCGGAAATTATCTCCTTGAAAAAGTTAGAAAATGTTTCGTTAATGCCATTTAACGCCAAAGTGGAATTTTAAATATTTCGAACTGAAAAAAGAATTTTCTATTCAGATTAAAAGCATTATGCAGTTATAACTTAAGATAAGTAAACAATAGGGTACAAAAAACCGTAAATATTTGAAATGTAATATAATTTAATTATTATCACGATGATATCTAACTTATTAACTTATTTCCTTTCAGTGGTATGGCTGTTCACAACGGCAATGTTTCATTTATACAAAAAAGAAACATTATTTGCTGTTTGGCTTGGGTTCACACCTTTCATAAATCTGAACAAACCAGAAGCTGTTGAGGTAATGCTTACAGATGCAGGGAGGAATGAATTTGTGAAATTTCTATTGAAATGAAACAAAGCTAGAATTTCAAAGCTTGGTCTGAATTATAACATAGGGTAAAAATTTAGAGCAATTGTATTTGTGAACTTGAGCCTTACACCTTTATTTTATTTAATTGTAAGAAAAATTTAACAGCTGAATATGCTTGCGTAGCGCATTGGTTAAAAGCACGTGCCTTCAACCTGTTGAGCTCTTGGTTTTATCATACCTGGTGATAGTTTACCTAATTATAATTTTTTTAAACTGAAATTGGTTTCCATAAAAAAAATTTTATAAATTATTTTTTAAATAAATTTATACGTTTGGCTCTATTTCAGTAGCGATTTCACAGAATCATACTCCTTTTGTTAAAGATCTAATATAAAATTTATACCTAAGATTAAGATTAAACTATGCTTTCCTGTAGGAAGAAACTGCGTCTGTTTTCTTATCGATTGCTAAAAATTCTAAATTATAAGATCGCTTCCTCAAAAAATGTTTCCAGATTTTGATAAACATTTTTTTCTTTTGCTTAAATGTGACTATTTTTACTTCATTGATGTCATTTTCGCATCGCATTCAAATTTTATAAGAAATAGTGAAGAGAAATATTAGTTACCCATACTGGCCCTTAAAGTCCACGCTGGCTCCCTACGAGCGTGAATTACATAAACTCTTTTGCAGGTGGGGAAAAAAGATATGTCTACAGCTTGACCAACTTTAACTGTATCTGGTGTAACTTAACTGCAACTGGTTAACTCTGCTGTAACTGTGTAACCTAAGTAATATTACTGCCAGCTGCAATTCTTAATTCTTTCCCCATACCTGCCACAAGGAGATATTTTATATAGAGTTTTGCTAGAGTGGTAGGACAATTCAGAACAATTTGATAGCGACTATAGCGTACCCTTTACGAAATTTTGACATGCGGACACATGGCCCATTTCGAAGGATCGAAGGAAGTGGAGTTAGATATTTTGCAATATAATTCAACCAAAAAAAGCATGTGAGGTTTTATATTGCGAAGAGTTCTGAATAAATAAAATAAGCTCAAGATCATATTCAGTTCAATACATAAACTATCCGACTTTGGTCAAACAGCGGAAATATTTTCATAGCTTAATTGAAAAGTCTGTAAAAACTACAACAACAATTGTTCCGATTTAATTAAAATTAAACACTTTTTGAAACAATGCACACGCTTTATTTAATCCATTAACTACCTTTATAGACTGATTTTATTTACTGTGGAGTTCATTTTTTATTACTGTTATTAGTTTATGATTTTCAATGTTATGATGTCAATTATAAATAATAAAAACATTTTTTTTTTAAAATGTTAAAATCGTAGGAGGTTTTAAGTGGAACAAAAGCGAATGAAAAGTCTTGGATTTATGATTTTGTGCATTGCTGGTTAGGAACAGGTCTTTTAACTAGGTAACTGTCTAGTATATTAATATTATATATTCATAACTACTCATATTGATATAACACATGCGGGGAGTTCTCGACCCCCCCCCTGAATGCATAACTAACAATATTTGTAACCCATATAATTAAAAAATATTGCAACAGAATTGAGACTGAAGGCAATTTTTCAAAAGTTTTTCTATAACGGGAAAAAAAGTCAATGGCAATTTGAGTTAAGCAAGTTTTAATACTCCGAGGAATAATTTCTTCAAGGAAAATATCCTCTTTGCTTATTTAAGGATGCGAATTTCGTCAAAAGCAATATAGTTAATGCAACATTTAAACCATGTATATTATATTGCTGTAAAGACAAGTATTAAAAAAAGTATAATCGTATCACAAATTTAATATCCTAAAATTAGAAAAATATTAATCGTATAATAAGCGTATTTGGAAACTTTTTCCTATCAGAATGAATTCGTAAATCTTTATGAGTCTAAAAATGCAACATTAAAGTAATTTTTCAATTGTTCAAAAATTAGAAGCTAGAAGTTATTCTTTTTCAGAAAACAGTGGATTTTCTCCATGATGTTGTTTTGTGCTATTTTCATTATTTCCTTATGTCTTATTTGAAAAAATTTCATGGGCCGTGTTGGCTAAAAATATATTAAACTAAACCACACGGACAAGAATTTCTTTTCGACCCAGAACAGATATTTTTCTCTCAATGTTGACATTTCGTCAATTCAGGCGTATTAAGACAAATTTCTTGGCTACTCTTTCAGGGGCACCTTATTAGGTGGGTCAACGTTGCACCCACAGTAAGGACAGATAGTACAGAGAATGAAAGAACATCCATGTGCCTTGTCCAGGATTCGAACTCAGAACCTTTCTGATGCAAAGCCAGTTCCGTGACCCCTACACGCTCAAAAAAACTGTTTTGAGAGCTTCTCACACTATTGTATTGATATATTTTGCTTTGGCTATTTTGATACAATATTAGAAAGCACTCCTTTTTGCAGATATAATCGTGTGAGTTGATGAAGAGGTTATATCTTTTATTCCCCCGAATTTTTATAATTTTTTTTAAAATAATTTTTTTCTCTTTTTTCATTATTCTGTAATTTTTCCATGTTTGCTCTACATTTTGAACTTATTTTATGAGTTCTATATATTTACAGCTCATGCGCAGTAAATAAAACTTATTGATTTTCTTAATTTTCTTCGTTTTTTTTTATTTTTTCGTTTCGTCCTTTTTGTATTTATTTTCAACATGATATTAACTTTTAAATTGGAAGATTATCTTAAAATATCTCATTTCTTATTCTATTTTTTTTTTTAAAAATTATTATTTTGTTACGAAGTAAAAAGAAAACATTCTCCAAAGTAAAGAATAACGCGCTAAGATTCTTTCATTTCTGTTATTTTTTTTACACTAATTTTGCATTTTATTTCAGTTACGGTGAGAAATGGAAATCAAGACGAAAGTTGTTGACACCAGCGTTAGTAGGGGAAAATTGAGCGTTCAACCC